CCCCCTTGTCAACACAATTATATAAATTTCTCCTGTGCGAATGGTAGTTTGTATGTGTACATACAAATTTTTTTTGCCCTCCCAGCCAGCGGCACGGCACGGCACATGCTGCGAAAACTATTGTTGTTTGTTTTAAAAAAGGATACCAGCACCAGGGTTTGGAGGCCTTCTTCTTCTTGCGACCCATGATTGCAAATTTATTTTAAAGCACTTAAGTTCAACGATGCGCAGTGCCAATTTCTTAAAATTACAAATTTCTTCAGCGAAAATTATTTTTGGTCGTGAGCGTGATAAAACAAAATGGAGTGCAGTGTGCCCACGGATTTATCGATACGGACCGTCATACATATACCGAAATATACGTACGTAAACCTACGTAACCCATGTCTGGACCACAATATTTATCTTTGTTGGCTTGTTTTCAGGACTTCCTTCTATTGAATTATGGTTAAATTAAAAATGTCAAGTTATAAAGCAAAGCGTGTATGGTATGTTCTGTCATTGTTGCTGGTTGGCCAGGTTCCATTTATGAGTATGGCTTTTTTATATTGTATTATTGTTATATGCACGTTACCGCAAACTGCAATTTATTTGCGATGGCTTTTAAATAGAGACTCAGTAGGTCTGCATTTATTGGAGTCTGGGAGGACACATATTTCATTAATTCTCTATGTGATAATCTTTTCTCCCAGGAAATTTAAAATGTTGATCAATATATTGTAATAATGAAGACAATCGTATTCCAAGGGGAACACTTGCGTTTTTTGCTATTTATGTTGTTGTTCAGTATATTTTTAAGGTCATGCAGTATATTGTATACATAAATCCGCGGTCACACTGAGAAGCATTTCGCAGGCCGGCAAAAAAAAAATTAACATAAAATGGCAGATAAAAAGGTAACAAGGGCCCTCAATTGGAAAATAGTTTCATTTCACTAACATGTACGTGTCCTTCCAGGTGGGTGGAAACAATGACGGCAAGGAGAAACGCCGCAAGGAGTCGATTCTGGACCTCTCCAAATACCTGGAGAAACAGATCCGCGTGAAATTCGCGGGCGGCCGAGAAGCATCTGGGATACTCAAAGGCTACGACGCGCTGTTAAATTTAGTGCTGGACAACACAGTGGAGTATCTGCGCGACTCGGACGAGCCATACAAACTCACCGAGGATTCGACACGGAGTCTGGGCCTCGTGGTCTGTCGTGGCACAGCGTTGGTGCTCATCTGCCCCGCCGACGGCGTCGAGAGCATTGCCAATCCATTCATAACGCAATAGAAGTAGCTCCCCTACTGACTAGGATTAGTACAAAACTTATGTGGAAAATCGGTTCAAATATATTTAGCGGCGACACATACATAAATTAAGGTCTTAAATCTACAATTTCGTTAGCTGCCCTCAGTCCAGGCCAAATTCGTTTCGTATCCAGGGATACTGTGCGGGACACTCCATGCACGTGTAGAAGTAACGATCCTCCTGGAGCACTCTGCTGCGCACCTTGCACACATTGGGTATGTTGCACACCTTTTCGTGGTCATCCAGCTCCTTGGGCTGGCAGTGCCAAGCCTCAAACTGATGCATTTGATTGCTGGGCGTCGGGTGACGCATCCACTGAATCGCCTGCTGATTGGTCACAAAATACACATCCGGCAGCTTTTGCAGATCATCGAGGAATTTCTAAGGAATGGCCAGAGTAAGATAAGTTGCTGCGGCTATTTGTTATTCCCCTTTATATTTACCAAAAATGCATTCAGATAGTCAATCTTTTTGAACCAAGTGGAGTGGAAATACAAGCCAAAGGGCGCTCGGTTGCTCAGGTAGTGTCGCTTGAAGTTGTGCGTCAGCAGTCGGTAGATATCATCGCCACTTAGATGCGGCGGGCAGCTGTCTACCATGCCGCACATGTATTCCCCAGCTTCCAGCTGATTCATGACCAACTCCCAGATGCCCGGGTAACTGCGCGATGGACAGTTCTGATTGACGCCCGTGCAAGTGTGAGGCATCTTGTAGTCGAGAGTGTAGGGCCACAGTGGGGGATTGGAGTGCGGTGCCACCATGGAGGCATCGTAGACGAAGCCAAACTCTTTCATCATCAGAAACTGACGATTCCAACCGACGCGCAGGAACGGCACACGCATACCCCGTATCTCATCCATGCGTACGGCAGCAAATTTGTTGATAATATTCGCCTGGCCCACCATCTCATCGAACCAATCCTCAATTGTGGCATTCTTGGACCACCACAGCTCGGGACCACGATGGCTGCAGGGGGATAAGAGAAGATTTTTGTAATGGTTTGGTAGGAACTTCCTGCTCAATACTTACGTTACTGAGTGCACAGCAATCTCGTGCCCATCGTTCCATAGTTTCTGCACATATTGATAATTGGTAAACGGATGCGACACATAGAATGTGCCCTTGATGGGGCAACCATTCGGATTGCGACGATTCTGTGTAAACAGCACCTTCGAGAAGAGCTCCCAATTGTCATGATTAATGGCATCATCGAAGGTCAGCAATATCATCTGAGGTACAGACTGCTTAGCGAGATTTCCTGGGATCTGTGTGCCATCCTTTGAGCAGAAACAATGCGGCAATTGGCACTTTCGCGAGTCGCACGCGCCAGCTGCATTTGGATCATGCTCCACATCGCACCAGCCCTCATCGGAGCCATCCGGGCAATCCACGGAGCCATCGCAGAAGTATTCCTGAGGCAGACAAGTGCCATCGGCACAGCCCAGCTGATATTCATCCGCACAATCGGCCATTTCCAGCAGCGGCTTGGGTGCCGGCGTCTCTGCGCTCACATCACAATTATCGACATTCGCCTTGAAGTCGCAGATCTGACGCACCACATCGAAGAGCAGTCCCTCGGAGCACTTGAATTCAAATACCTCACCATCGAGACACAGGAAATACTTGGCACACTCGCTATTCGTCCAGATCTTGTGCACCGGTCTATGCGGATTGCGATAGAAGCGTGCATCATGCATGCAACTGGCTGTGGAAGTCGAACGCCGATGACGACTGTGGTTGCTGCTGCTGCTGATTATTCCATCATTGTCTGCAAATTGGTGTGAGAGATCTTTGTGTAATTAACAAGGAAAACTAATTAATGCGTTGACCCAATTAGTAGCAGCCTCACGTCAACACCAAAAGTAGAGTTAGCCATTGGACTGTCTGTCTGTTGTATTGCAGCAATACTCGTGCTTGCCATTGCACTGCTTGCACGCATTGGAATTGTGGCATGGGCGTTGCAGAGATTGTAGGGGGAGGAATAACGGTGCCAGCCAACACACACAGCGGACGACACTCGAACGATAGATGGTAAGGCAGTCATAAAGCAGTTGAAGTAAAGCGGATGCGTTTTTGCACGGCTCCCTCTGCCGCCTACACTGTGGCTATGGCTATGTGGTGTACCACAACATTGTAGCAGATAAATTGAAATGCGTTTGCATCATGAATTGGCCAGGCCTGGCCAATAGCAATAGCAATGGCCCGTAGCCGCACCAGATCGTAACTCAAGTCAGATTGGGCAAGCGACCAGCACACACACACACACACGCAGCAATGCAGATGCTAACTCAAGATATGTCTACAGCTGTACCGTAATCTAAGCCATCTGTGTGTCTATGCCTATGTGTGTGTGCTGCTCAGCTGTTGGGTTGCAGCGCATTTAGAAAGTAAATTTATCATTTAACTTTGCCATGGCAGCGGGTCAGGAAAATTTCAGCAACTGAACTGTCATTTGGGTTCAATGCACAGTCTTTTGGGTGTTCGGGGAACCTGGCCCCGTCCAGTCTTGGTTTGGCTCTATTCGTTATGCAACAGATCGACAACTTTCACACCCAATGTGCGCGGCCGCATGCGGCATGCCAAAATACAAAGAGAGAAACACGACACGACAGAGAGACACGCACCCAATCAAGAGGCTCGCTTCACACCCAAAACAAAAGTGGAGAAATTACCAATGCGCATAGCATCCAGCGACGACACGGTCGACATAATCAACAGCATAACAACGATAATGCTGGACAGAGCACTTAGTGGGAGTGGGTTGAAGTTTTGCATTGATAACGCCGTCTGATGCCAACGTCGCTGGGCGGAAGCGACGACCTTGACTGTGAAACCAGTTTGCCAATTTACATTTTCCCCGGGGCGCAGCATTTTGTTAGCTTAATTTCCAGTTTGCGTGTGTCCAATATTTTGTTTTGTCTTTCTGCTTGGAAAAACTAAGACCGCAGCACCAACCGCACCACCGGCAAATGAAACGTTTTGAAAGTGCTCCCGAGCTTGTTCCGCTACCGCCGCACAAAGCCAACGCCGATGCCAATTTGTGACTGAAGTCTTGTGGGATGCAGGCCTGGCTATATATGTTTTTATATTTGGTCATTTCTCTTTATAGAGAGCGCCTTAGAGAAAGCTCTTTAGACGGTTTTTCTCTCTCTCTCTCTCTCTCTCTCTCTCTCTTCAACAGACTGAGCTGAAAATCAGACAAGATATTTTGAATATAGTAATTGGACAATAAGTACATTATTAATTTTTCAATTTTTTTTAGATTTACACATATAGAGGCCCGTGGGCGAATATTTTTATTTGTTGCTTGCTTTAATTTTGTAAATTTGAATTCGACGTTGAAAATAACGTTGCATTGAGGTGCTGCCAACTCGTTTCGATTTCTAATTAGTGCCAGGCATGATTCCTTGGGAAAGCTACTGCGCCTGCATCCCTCTAATAGCGTCATATCCTTATTTTAGTTTTAGTTACCAATAGTTTGTTTACCAATAAAGATAAGTCATGAAAACTAGTCGAGAATAGAATGTTAACTCGAATAAAATTACAGTTTTAGAGCTGAAAGTCCTAGCTAGCTGGTAATATTAAACAGAATATAAAAGTCGAGGAAAACGATTTAAGATTTGCGGTATATTTTGAAATCAAAGTGTATATTTTGGTATATCTCCGTGTGTGTGTGTCGGTATATTTTATCGTTAATTCCGCGGTCACACTGGTTATAGCGTCCTAAATTGGCGCCTGAATTTTCTGTTAAGCATTATTTGTGTTATTGTCCATAATAGAAGCTATAGAAGCAACAGGATGAGTCCGAGCACCGCCACTTCGAAAGCTGGTGGTGGACGCAAGAGTGGTCAATATCGGATGCCCCAGTCGCAAGTACAGCAGCAATTGAGGGCACAACAAGCAGCCGACGACGATGACGCCGCCATGGACGCCCTGGATGATGCGATGGTATGTGACGATGAGGAAGGCGGCACACGCATCGGGGATATATACATACCCCCACCGATACCGCCACACTGCTCCATGGAGAGCACCGGCCCACGGCTGATCATCAAAAAGATTGTGAATCGAAATTTCAAGAGCTACGCCAATGAGGTGACGCTGGGTCCGTTCCATCAGAGTTTTACGGCCATCATTGGACCCAATGGCAGCGGTAAGAGTAACGTCATCGATTCCATGATGTTCGTTTTCGGCTGTCGTGCCAATCGCATTCGCTGCAAGCGTGTCTCCACCTTGATACACAAATCCTCGCGATTTCCCGATCTACGCAGCTGCTCGGTGGCCGTGCACTTTGAGCAGATTGTGGACAAGGGCGATGGCACCTGCCAGACAGTACCTGGCTCTGAGATTGCCGTCGAACGCACAGCCATGTCGGACAACTCGTCGTACTATCAAATCAATGGACGTCGCGCACAGGTCAAGGATGTGGTGAAGCTGCTGAAAACTCATCACGTGGACCTGGAGCACAATCGTTTCCTGATACTCCAGGGCGAGGTGGAGTCCATAGCCATGATGAAGCCGAAAGGTCTGACGGAGAACGAAACGGGCATGCTGGAGTACCTGGAGGACATTGTGGGCACCCAACGCTACAAACAGCCGCTGGATCAGATCAATCAGCGCGTGGATCAGCTCACCGACGATCGCACGGAGAAGCACAATCGCTGCAAGCTGGCCGAGCGTGACATGAAGGACCTCGAGCAGCCATTCAACGAGGCTGTGGAGTATCTGAAAAAGGAAAACGATTTGGTGCGCACAAAGTCCTGGGTCTACCAAAAGTCCATCAGCTTGAAGAAGATTTCCTTGGCGGAGCACACCAAGGAGCACGAGAAGTGTGCGGAGAAACTCAAAACACACGATGAGGCCACGAATGCGCTGAAGCAAGAACGCGCCGAGAAGGAGGAGATTATCAGAAAGGAAATTGAGTAAGAAATGAAGCAGTAAAAGCCGCAATTTTCCACACAGAAATCTCAACGTTTGCAATCTTTCAGGGCATTTGAAGCGCTCGTCAAGCAGCGAGATCAAGTCAAAAAGAAGCTGGTGAGCGCGGAGCGTGCCTGCACGGAGGTCCAGAGTACCATGGAGAACACCAACAAGCAGCGCAAAAAGGACAAGGCGCAGATCGAGAAGAACGAAAAGGAGCTGGAGGATTTGCGCACATTGCCGGAGAGAAATCAGGTGGAGATCGCGGAATGTAATAAGAAATTGGAGCGCCTCGAAAAGGATAAAGTTGCGCTGAATGAAGAGCTGGAAAAACAATTGCAAGAATTGAAGCAGAAAACGGAGCCGCTCACCGAGCAGCGCCTGAAGCTGAGCGACGAGCTGGTGGGGCTCAAGGAGCAGGTGAACTCCTGCAAGGCAGCGCTGCAGGTGCACGAATCGGAGCTGCGAATGCTCAAGCAAGTGGAGACTACTGAGACCAGGAAGTACGAATCGCTGATGAGCTCCTACCAACAGTCGCAGCAAAATCTGGACGAAATGGTGGGCAAAGTGGCGCAGCTGAAGCAGGGCATACCCGAGATGAAATCGGAGATTGCCAGCAAGTCAGCGGAGGTGGAAAAGCTGACGAAGGAGGAGCGAAATTTGTCCACAAAATGCACAAAACTTAGGGATGAGGTAGGGCAGTCTTTAAGCGCTTTTATGGCAGATCTTGGCTCACATTTTCTGCTTCTCTTTCCTTAGATCAACGAGCGTTCGCGCAACATGCAGTTCCAGCAATCCAACAACAGAGTTTTGGACTTTTTGATGCGTCAGAAAATGGAGGGAAAGATTCCTGGCATTCTAGGACGTCTCGGTAACTTGGGTGGCATTGATGCCAAGTATGATGTGGCCATTTCGACAGCGGCAGGCGGTCGCTTGGACAACATTGTGACGGAGAACTTTGACACAGCTTCTATGTGCATTGCTGCCCTAAAGAAGCACAATGTGGGCAGGGCGACGTTCATTAGTTTGGAGAATATAAAGGATTTGAAAGCAGATTCCTGCACCACAATTAATACGTAAGTTTGGATCTCTCATCCCTAATGAGTCAACCTCTAATCTCTCTGCCTTTTGCAGCCCCGAGAATGTTGCGCGCTTGTACGATTTGGTTAAGGTTGAGGATGATCGCGTGAGGGTCGCATTCTACTTTGCCCTGAGGAACACGCTTGTCGCCACAGACCTCGAGCAGGGCACACGTATTGCTTATGGCAGGCAACGCTATCGTGTGGTCACGCTGCGTGGCGACATGATTGAGTTGACGGGCACCATGTCTGGCGGTGGCAAGACCGTCATTCGTGGCAAAATGGGCACCCAAGTGCAGACAAAGACTGCGGAGAGTGCAGACAGTTCGACCTCACAGACAGCCGCCCTGGAGGACATGCAAATCCAAGCGGAGGAGCTGCAAACGCGCATCAACTATTGCCAAGAGCAGCAGGGACGACTGGAGCGCGAAGTGCAGACCCTGCAGCAGACGGTGCAGCGGAACGAAGCGGAATACAAGCGTCTGGAGGTTAGCATCACATCGCTGGAGCAGCAGATGGCGAGTAATCTGAAGCAGTGCGACATGCAGCGACAAAAGATGCTGAAAAAGACCACGGACGAGGATGCCGTCAAGTTGCTAGAGGAACAAATAGAAACGGCCAAGCAGGAACTGGAGCAGGCGGTGTTCGCTGAGCAGGCAATGAGCAGCCAAATCGAAGAGATTCAAGGGCAGTACACAGCGCTGCGAAACGACAATGTGAAGCCTGTGGAGGCGAAGATCAAGAAAACAGCCACGCAAATTGAGAAATTATCTGCCAACATACGCTCCATGAATGTGGCGCTGAGCACAGCGGAGCGGAACATTGAGAAGATCACCGAAAACAATAATAATCTGCGGGAGAACATAAAGACAGCGGAGGAGAAGCTGCGCGCGTTGAGTGATCAGCGACAAAGGTTTCAGGAGCACAAGGAAGATCTGGAGAAGGCCGCGGAAGAGGCAGCCGAGGCCATAGACAATGCCAAGAGTCAGTCATCGGATTTGAAGAAACAAATCGATGAGCTCAGCAAGCAGGAGAATCAACGCAACATTGACCGCATCGAAATGGAGGCAAAAGTGCAGAGTGTAAAGGGCATAATTGATCGCATGGTCAATGTGGAAATACCTGGCTATCAGGCGAAACTAAAGCCGCTCAAGCTCAACGATATACCAGGCGAAACGGAGCCGTTGATGCCGCTGAAAGAACTCACCGAAGATGAACTCAATGCGGAGGCTCTGAGCGACATGCAGTACAAGGAAACGGTGCTCGAGGAGCAGCTGCAGAAGAAGCCAAACCTCAATTGCATCAAGGACTTCAATGAGAAGCGAAATGTTTACTTGGATCGCGTGCGCGTGCTCGAAGACATCACCTCAAAGCGTAACGAGATGCGCGACAAGTTCGAGGAGGTGCGCAAGCGTCGCTACAAGGAGTTCATGGATGGCTTTGGCATCATTACACACAAGCTCAAGGAAATGTATCAAATGATCACCCAAGGCGGCGATGCCGAGCTGGAGCTGGTCGACTCCATGGATCCATTCACGGAGGGTGTTAACTTCACCGTGCGGCCGCCCAAAAAAAGCTGGAAATATATTTCGAATCTCTCTGGCGGTGAGAAGACATTGTCCTCTTTGGCGCTGGTCTTTGCCCTGCATTACTACAAGCCCTCGCCGCTGTACTTTATGGATGAAATCGATGCGGCGTTGGATTTCAAGAATGTTTCCATTGTGGCGCATTACATAAAGGTGAGTAGCAGCAAGCGGAGATCTTAAGAAGGTTTATCTTTAATTATCTTTCATTCTTTATAGGAGCGCACGAAAAATGCTCAATTCATTATTGTGTCGCTGCGCGTAAACATGTTTGAGCTGGCCAACCATTTGGTGGGCATCTACAAGGTGAATGATTGCACGCAGAACATTACAATGCTAAATAAGCCGCCACAGCTGCCGGAGCAACCGCCGCGCATGGCCTGCACAATGGGTGCGACAATTGCTAGCAACTTAAATGCTGAAGAGAATACAACTTGCATGGAAAACACAATTATTCCACGAACCAACAGTAACATCGAGAATCCATTAGAAGAGGAGCAGCAACAGGAGAAACAGCTGTCGACAGTGGGACCAGGCAGAGATACAACATTTGCACCACCCGTGGAGAGTACCGCTATGTCACAGGCCATACAGGAAGCAAATGCCACCGGCAGATTAACCACAAACATGTCGCTAGAAAGCCCACCCAATTCGCCGCCACAAGCGTAAGATAAGATGAACAAAAGTTACAAATATTGTGTGTCCCTGCGACACTTTAGACCTCCGATCAGAGTTATATATTAAGCATTAACAAACAAATCATTTAAATCTAACTAAAGTTACTCATAATCTTTGAACAAATGCCCTCCAGGGCTTCTGTGGTGGCATTCTTAATGGATGTGATGTCCTCCCCGGCATCGCATGCCTTGGCTATGACCGGATCAAGGGGTAGCGAGCCAAGCAGTGGCACTTCCATTTCCGCGCACATGGCGGCAGCTCCGCCGGTTTTGGCTGGAAAGATTTCGGAACTGTGGCCGCAATGGCCACACCGGAAGCTACTCATGTTCTCGATGACACCCACAATGGGTATGCGCTGCTTCTTGCAGAAATTGATCTCCTTGCGTACGTCCAGCAGTGCAACCTCCTGGGGTGTGGTCACAATTATGGCACGCACCGAGTCGGGTGCATTGTCATCTTTCAGATAGGAAACCACAGACAGATGCTCATCCGAGGTTCCGGGCGGTGTGTCCAGCAGCAGTAGATCCAAGTTTCCCCAGTCCACTTCGCTCAGGAACTGACGAATCATTCCATTTTTTTTGGGTCCACGCCAAATAATGGCATCATCCACGGATCCCAGCAGAAATCCAATTGACATCAGGCACACATTGTCGTCTATGCCCACCGGGGACCAGCCCGATCCCGACTGATGCACATTCTCTCCCAGGGCGCCCATCAGACGCGGCTGCGATGGTCCGCAGATGTCAATGTCCAGCACACCGAAATTGCTATCCGGACAACTCCTGGCCAGGTAGCGTGTCAGCAGCGTGGTCACTGTGCTCTTGCCCACTCCCCCTTTGCCGGAGAGGATCAGCAGCTTGTGTTTGACATCCTTCAGTGCAGCGGTCACCAGCGCCTTGCCCGGATCCTCGAGCTTCTTGTTCGGATCGCTGCATATGCTCTGATTTGGACAGCCGGCACAGGCGCTCACCTGTCCAGCCTGCTCGCTCTCAACGCCAGGGCAATGTTCGGGAGGAGGAGCCTGCATCGCAATATAAATTAACAACAAAAACAATAAATCTTGTGAAATTGTGAATGGAATGGTGATTATGGTGTGCTCGCATTAGCATTAGGTTTGCATATTAGCGGGATTTTAGTATTATTCCAGCACATTTATTTTATTCAGTATATTTCGGTATACTTTTGAGTGTTCAACGGCATATCTTATCGATACAAATCCGCGGTCACACTGGCCTACACAAATGCTTGTCATCCGGCAAAACAACTAACTTGAAAACTCTTTAGAAACCCGTAAAGTTATATTAATAAGTGCAAGATGGAGACGCTTTTGGGTATCAAGGGCAAGGATTTTGTTATGCTGGCGGCAGACACAACTCATGCCCGTTCCATTATCGTAATGAAAGAAGGTGAGCAGCAGAAATAAATTCGATGGCGGCTTGTGTCTCAATTGTTGGCGAAACTTTTTACCTCTTGCAGATCAGAACAAAATTCACAAGGTCTCGGACAACTTGCTAATTTCAACCACTGGCGAGTCGGGCGACACCGAGCAGTTTACCGAGTTTATTTCGAAGAATATTGCCCTGTACAAAATGCGCAATGGCTACGACCTGAGCCCGCGTGCGGCAGCCCATTTTACGCGCAAGAATCTGGCCGATTATCTTCGCAGCCGCACACCCTACCAGGTCTTCATGTTTGTCGCTGGGTAAGCTACTATGTTCTTCAATGATTAAGCGTGTTTTCGAACTGCATTACGATCTCCCACAGCTATGATGAAACGGAGGGCGCAGAGCTGGCTTTCATCGACTATCTGGCCAATGCAAAGTCTCTGAACTACGCCGGTCATGGCTACGGTGCCATGTTCTGCTCCAGCATCTACGATCGCTACTGGCACCCCAACATCACCCAGGATGAGGCTTACGATATCTTCAAGAAGTGCATCGTGGAGATACAAAAGCGTTTGGTCGTCAATCTGAAGAACTTCAATGTCTCTGTCGTGGACAAGGATGGTGTACGCAACCTGGAGCCAATCAGTGCCCAGAGCCTGACCGATTACAATGCATCTAGTTAGGTTTTCAGCATTTAAAATGCAACGTTTATAATAAAAAAAAATGCGCCTGGGTGACTGGCTTCTTTGGTACGAATTCTACAAGAAAATAATTTCATTTTTGGTATTTATCTTCCACCTTGTTTTGATTTCCATACGGTCACACTAGAGCAGGCACATTCACTGACAAAACAAAAATATATTGAAATAAAATATTTGAAATACATATTATGAGCTACATAGAACAACAGGCTGATCCACGCAATCCCCATGGACTTGGTAAGTGCCAGATTTTATCAAAGGAATACATCCATTAACCAGGAACTCCGATGCTAGGCGACCCGAATGACACAAAATTGCGCAAGGTGGAGGTCGAGGTGCTGATACCCAAGATAATGCGAGACCGGGCTAAGGCAGAGTTATGCACAAAGGAAGTCAAAGATTTTGAGGAGTGCTGCAAGACCAGCAGCATCTTCATGGTGGCCACCTGTCGCAAAGAGAACTCTGCACTGAGGGACTGCCTAACGCTCTGGTATCAGAATGATGCCTTCAAGGAGGAGTGCAGAAAAATCTATCTTCAGGAGCGGTCCGACTACCGCAGCACCGGAATACCCAAGAAGCATCGCTTGGAGAAACTCTAGTACTTAGTTTTGTTATTATTTTTGTTTACTTTGCACGAATGATGAATAATTGAAGCGACGAACAATTGTTTCCGTGACGGAAATGTCCTTAAGAGCTTCGGGTGTGGCTAAGTTGGAGTCATCTTCCTTGGGTTGAACGACTGTGAGCAGGAGTACATCTTTGTCGGACGTTTCGGCCACACGTTGGACACCCTTGAGGTTCTTTGGCTGGTAGTAGTCAAAATCGGCGGGAGTCTGCACGATGACCAGAAAGCTGGCATGGAAATGCTGTGGACTTTGCTTGTAGATAACTGCAGGACAGGACGGCATATTATCAGAATAAAAAGTGCTGTTTTCCCAATACTTACGAAAGTCTCCGCCAAACTTGATTCCACTCTTGATGACCCAATTCTTGGATTTCAAATACAGGTAGCATGCCAAATTCTCAACAAATCTGTCGTTTAGATCCTTAGCGGCTTTCAGAAATTCTTCCCAACCCAGACTCGTGCCGGATAGGTTCTGTATGTCGAGTACTTTCAAATAGAAGGCCAGAAAACAAGACTCCTCCAGTCCAAGAAGCAGAGTTTCGTCTTCATCGCCCGATGCCGGTCCACCCCGAGACTTGCTGCCTTTTCCATAGCAGCCACTGTCATGAAGCGACTTTGCCTGGGTAGGCTCTGATATCTCTACAGAGAGCCCAGTAAAGACACCGTGATAGCGTTCACCTTGCTCCGGAAGGGGCGTTGCATTGGAATTTCTAAAACTGCAACGCTTTTTTTTACATTGAAATGTGAACTGCATACTTGAGTACAGTGTGACCGGGGATCGATTAAATATACCGAAATGAACCATCTAATTTTCAAAATATACCGTAAATCATCGATTCATCGATCACTTTCATCGATTTTAATGTTCTATATAATAAAACTAGCTAGTTAGAATTCTTAGCGCTACTACTATACTTTTATCCGCTTCATCAATCCATTCTCCACATGATTGACTAGTCTTCATGACTTCCTTATATTGGATTGCTTATAAAATCAGGTTAACACGAAAAAGATCAAACAAAAACTATAGCAAAAAACGTTACGTTAGTAGGAATGAAATGTTACGTAATTTGAAAGCTGTTGCTTGTCAACCATTATTTGTATACAATGTTAATATCGAAGCTGCTTAAATAATTTCAAATTATTATTAATAATTGCCCATCTTTGGAATGTTAAATTTGTCTGAACACACATCTCTAGAGTTTTGTTGTGCTGTTGTGTGCGAGATCGAACAGTACCATTAAATAACATATGTATGTTAAAAATAATAATAAAGTTAACAATTCCGTTACAATCTAATTAAATGCAGGAATGCAGAAAACCTGTAACATACAACAGAATTTAAACATTAATTAACGGAAATAGGGCCATAGATGTATATGTTGTTGATAGGTAGAAAATGTGTAGTTGACATGCAAACAAATTTACATATTGGTTGGCCTTCTCTGTTTAGACCATATTTGATAAGCTATCCATCCAAAAGGGTCTTTTAAATTACCCAACCTTGTAGATAAGTTATTCAACAATCTGATAAAATTATATACTCAGTACGGAGAGTCCAAACTAGTGAGTAATTTTAAATAGAAAATCAAAATTGAGGAATAACATTTTGTTTGGTGCATTTTGGTATATTTTTGAGCCTGGGACGGTATATTCTGTCGATATCTCCGCGGCCACACTGTAAAAAGTCACAAGACCCAAGTCAGCTGAATTTTTCCGTGTCGTAGTAGTGTGAAAATCACTGGCTAATTTTATTAAATTTTCATAAATTCTGTGCTCGAATTTGTGCGCCAGAGCGACACTCCATTTTGCGTAGGATCCATCCATTAAGAGAAGCCAGCACAATGACTACCGCTTTGTATTTGCCCGAGGAAAACATCGGTAAGTTTTCCCGTCCCGACCTCTGCGAAAAATCGAAGCTCGAGTGTGTGTGAGGGTGGCCCCAGCAGCACCCTCACCTCGCCCCTAATTGTGTGATTTTCTTTGGCCTTATCCAGACATGATTGCTGCCACCTCGGTGCTGCAGCAACAAGCAGCCGACATTCGCACCAAAACCATCAACTGGGCCTCCTACATGCAGTCGCAGATGATCAGCGATGAGGATTACCGTGCCATCAGCACACTGGATAAATCACGCGCCGCCTACTTGGCCCAGAACTCCAGTCAGGTGGTCAAGACTCTGCTCAATCTAGTCTCGCACCTGTCCAAGGACTCCACCATCCAGTATATACTTGTACTGCTGGACGATCTGCTGCAAGAGGATCGCTCACGTGTCGATCTCTTTCACGACACCGCTGGCAAGCTGAAGCAGTGCATCTGGGGTCCCTTCCTGAACCTACTGAATCGCCAGGATGGCTTCATTGTCAACATGGCGTCCCGTATTCTGGCCAAGTTTGCCTG